TATACACATTTTAAGCTAGTTGTGATCAATGTGTCTTAAATGCGATGCATCAAAATGCACTTTATTTTAGGGCGAACCAACACAGGCTTGATGCTGCCGCCTGGTGCGACTCCCTGGCAGGTGACTCGGGGAACAATGACATAATGGTTTTGGAGCAGTGACCAAGCAAAACAGGACCCTCTGAACACTGAAAGGACACAAACACAGTTCACCTTCTGAATGCTAACTGTAATGTTTAACAAGACTTAAATAAGATTGTCTCAGTGTCACGTTAAGCACAAATGATTAAAATGATCGTATATGTTTACAAAATCACCAGTAGAGATGATGCATTACGGTGTAGCCCTGCAAGGTAAGGAGCTTTACATTGTAAATGAGTTGTAAAGTATTTTTAACTCAATATCACTCTATATCAGAGTCTAGCTCAACCCCCTAAATAAAAAACAATGTTGAGCTTTGGAGCTCTGAGATGCCTGTTTTGTAAATAAGGTTGCATGAACTCCTGCACTCCTCTAAACGAATCTATTAAACCAAAGAGTGACTGTGAGATTGGACCCAGGGACATGGCTAGAAGGGACTGGGAACGGCTTTGGAGGTGAACCACAGTTGGACAAATTGCTGTCACTGAAGGGAAGCAAATACTAATATAGCGTACTAATAAAGAAAAATTCCATATGTCCAATTTGAAGGCACATCTCAAGGTGGCTTATGAAAAACAGACCTGTGATCCCGTTTAAGCCAGTGTGACATATTTTTATTTGTCTTTCCTGTGTGCGTTTTGTTGGTCTTTTCCTTACAACACAAAGCACCTTCAAATTCAAACTTTATTTGTCACATACACAGTCATTCACAGTACGATATGCAGTGAAATGCTTACACAACTGCTCGTGACCTAAAGAAAAAAGAAAAGGCTATGAATAAGATAGGAAATAAATATGAAAATTAAAAAGGGTAAATGTAACTAGGAAGGAATAAAATAAAATATAAAAATTAAAGTTAAAAATAAAATAACTGTACAACACAAATTAGAATGAATGACCTTCATGACCTTGAGGCGACTGTTGGTGTCAGTTGGTGCTATATTAATAAAACTGAATTGAATTGTGCTGTATCAATGTGACCTGCCCAGGGGCTTCTAATGTAAATAGCAGTTTACTTCATTTTTTATATTGAGGTCCAGTAGGTACCGTTCTTGTTAAATAAACAACCAGAACCAGTGTAAACACTCGTCCACCCTTTGCAAAGCAAATAAAACAGAAGCTTTGCAATTTGTTGTAGTACCTGCGATACTATTTGTAGTATTACTATATTCGTATTACTACTCTCTCCCACAATCTTGCACAGTCTAATTTTTTCACTCTTCTTTAGCACAGAGTATGATGAAAGATCTCTGAGTGGGCGCCGTGTACACATTCAGAGAAGTCTGAATGCTTTTGTGTGACATCAGGAGAAAATATCCAGTGTGAAACTTGGCTCGAACAGGTTCATCTGTTTTCAGTTCACAGTAGATTGTGGGCCATGTCAGAGCTCGAGTAGCTTCTGCAGCAAAAAGTGAGAGAAAGGTCATTTTGACTTATACTAATTTTATAAAGTGTGATTTTGGTGCTAAAGAGAAGGCGTCTCTTTGTGATCATCTGCACACCAAAAACCTCTAAAAAAAAATTTCACACCATCTTTTGGCAGTAAATTATTCTTTGCTTTAAAAATGCTGCAGAAACAGTTTTATTTTTGCGAATTCGCAGAGGCACTGCCCCTGGGACTGCATCAGGATGAGCGCCCAATTCTGTGGTGACCCCTTGTGGCAAGAGCTGAGAGTAGCTTCTTTTATTGCATGGTTGAATACGGTTTTGTTTTTCTGCTTTTACTGTCGACGTAACAGAAACCTGACACCATTTTCTGCGCTGCTGCTGTCCGGCCTGCTTTGGATCTGGATTTCAGACTGCTAAATGCATTTTTCTGAGAAGTGTCAGTATTTATTTATTTATCTCATTCAGTAACAAACAAACAAAAACACAGATATGTTTGAAATTCTGTGAGATCCTCTACATGCCAAATAACTTTGTCAAATGAGAAGTGTTGATAATAAATGTTATATATGAGTAAAGATAAATAAGTTCTCTACGTACAAAGAAACAGAATCAAATCTATTTTCTTTGGTTTCAACAGTTCTGACCACAGACGACTGAATCTTTTTAAAATGCTATAAATCCAGCTTTGAAATGTCACCTTACTAATTACTGTAAACTACTCCCCCCCCCAAAAGACCAACACAGAGCACCATTACATGATTATATAATTCACCTTTGTTCTTCATAGGAATGCCCTTTGATTTTGAACTACTTAGTTCTTTTGAGTAACCACATGATGGCGGTCTTTCCTTTTCGTTTTTAATCTCAGCGCGAGCAGCAAACTCAAATCCACAAAACTTGTCATCATATGTTTGTTTCAAACGAACC